TTTACTCTTAAGGTAAGATAATTAGAAAATATGCACTTGAAATAAGACAATGCAATCGTGTTTTCTTATTTTAAGTGTAAATTGTCTTGGTCCATTATTATACAGCTCTGAGCTGTCGAAAAACGATTTAAAATTACACCCCACACACAGTTTTCCATCAGTATAAAATGTCCATTGTTTCATATGAACGGCAAGTGTCTAAAATATTATTGAGATAAATTATTGATTCTGGCAAAAATGGTGACACTCCAAAATAAAACTAAAAATGCATCTAGCAAGCATCTACAAAATGTGCCATTTTTATTCGGTTGAACTCAACTTACTCGTTTGCAGAGTTGTGTGTCCATCATAAAGTTGTGGACATGCTTCTCAGCCTTGGTCAGCTCCAGCTTCCTGGCAACCACTGCAACCACCAGCGCAGTGCAACCAGCTCCCTGTTGTTCAACATAATGGTGGACAAACAGCAACACTTTACCAATTAATCATCATAGCAACATTACACCCCCCAAAAACTGATAAGTGTTACATGCAGATGTTTTCAGCCCTGTTTACTCTAATTCTCTATAAGTGCTCTTATGCTATGTTCAGACCGCAAGCAGCAGAGGCAGCAGAAGCAGCTAGTTTACATGCAAAGTCAAAGGTTGACGCGCAAAGGTGCAGCAGAAGAACTGAAACAGTTCTGAAAGATCTAAAAAACAGTTTATTAACAGTTATATTAACTTAAAACAGTAGCGAACAGTAGCGGAAAACCACAAAGAGGCGACCGGACTGTTGAAGGGGATTCCCAATGACAAAGCACCGCCAGTGTACGGGGGTCTGAGCGAAAAAATCTAAAACAAAGTGAATCCAGTAGAACATTTTATTTCCTACCAGGAGTGGGTGACAATAGTTGAAGAAACTTTTGGCTCTCTAATTGGTATCGGTGCCCTATTTGTTGGTACTGGCCGATACCGATACCACCATTTTAGGGCAGTATCGGGGCCCTGTCCGATACTGGTATCGGTATCGGTGCAACACTAGTCTTTTTCCTGCTTCACAAAGGTAGGCAGCAGTTTGACAAAGCCATGATGGCAATTATTTTACATGCCGTTTTTCATATATACACAGACACATCAATTTCAAACAGATGGTATCGGAATGGTATCGGTATCGGCCGATACTGCACAGCCAGGTATCGGTTATCGGTATCTGGGCCAAAAAATGGCATCAGCGCAACACTATTTTAAATTAAAATCTTTAATCTGGACTCATTTTGGGGGTTAATGAATCTTATACCTGTTACAGACGTAACACAGGCGCTAAGGCGGAGGAGGCATAGGTCTAATTGCTTATGAATAAGAAGTGGAAGCAAATCATCAAACCAACAACGTCGTCTCGTTACCTAAAAGTTAAACATAGGATTATTTACAGAATTAAATAGGCCGTCATGAATTATACTTATCCTAAATCCTCTCCCACTGTTGTGGTATTGAAGGATGTAATTAGTTTAACACGCACCAATCATCTCGTTGTGAGAAAACGGCTTTCATTCTCTTTAGATAAAGAAAAAAATTAACTCATTTTCTCGAGAAAACCACAGTGAAAAAGTATCGCTCTCGGCTTCCGTAGATTATTATTTTTTTTATTATCCTTGTGTCAATATAGGAGGTGTGGGGGGTTCATGGGGGCACGGAATAAAAAATGTGGTCTGTAAAAGGTGATCGGTAAACACAATTTCAAGAGCCATACCATTCATAAAAGCCAATCTGAGAAAGGAAACATGAAATTGAAAATATAAAATCTGCTAAAATGTTTTGTTTTTTACGGATTTTTAAGGATTAGGGCCACTGGAAAAGAAAAAGTTAATTGATTTTTACATTTTATTTCAGTTTAACATGGAATTAAACTGAATTAAGTCAGAATTCTGACTTTTTTCTCAGAATTCTAACTTTTTTCCACAGAATTCTGACTTTAATTTCATAATTTTGACTTTTTTTATTGTCAGAATTCAGTGAGAATTCTGAGAAAAAAAGTCAGAATTCCGAGAAAAAAGTCAGAATTCTGACTTTTTTCTCATACTAAACTGAAATTAAATTTAGTTAACTTTTTTTTTTGTACTGGCCCTAATCCGCTTCCGTAGTTTTTACAGATGCAACATGTTTAGAAAATAACGAGCAACAGAAACAATGCGTGACCTCTGATGCGGTACCATTCACGCTCTTTAAAGGCGCAGAAGTGCATTTATAATATAGAAAAGGAATTTTCCTTCCACACGTTCAGAGATATCTTTACCTAAACCCAAGAAGAACATACCATGATTCCCGTAAGCAGACACACGCCTTTCCCACAGTACGTGTGCGGCACCATGTCACCGTAGCCAATGGTGAGGAAGGTGATAGAGATGAGCCACATGGCTCCCAGGAAGTTACTGGTCACTTCCTGTTTGTCATGATACCTGAAACGATAAAGACAGGGAGAGATGCGAGACATTCTCAGAAAAGGTGGAAACTGTTTCAGAAACGCTAACATGCTAAAGAGCTACAGGATGCTCTGAGTCACATAAGGCAAGTGGTTGGAGGAAAATAAGGAGGAAGTTCATGATGCATTATGAGACCACTGTTCTCTAAAACAAAGTAGCAAAAGTTCTTGTGCAAAACCAGTTATTTGTGGTTTGAAATCTGACGTCGTTTTAGGTACAACGCCACCTCTCACACCAGAATTAAAAACACATGTATTGGAGGAATTAGGAGTGAATTTTGTTCCATTATTGTTTGAAGTGAAGAAGACATTTAGTAAAGCATGCAATCCAAAACTGAAACTTAGAAAAATGTTTTCTTTGATTTTATTTCATTAATTTCTGTTTCTGTTATTCATTTAAACTTTATTTTTTCTACTTTGTTATTGTTTTTAACAGAATCTGTATTTAATATTTTTTCAGATTTCTGTTTTTCAGATTGAATTTCGTGTTTTATGAATTGCGTTCTTTTTTTTTAAATCCCATTCTCTTCACTTAAAGTCCAATAAATCAATTTACCGATAAAAAGTCTGTTGTTTCTGTCCATGCAGAGCTACGGAGGCCCCTAGGGGACATGGGGATTTTTTTTTTCTTTGGCGTTCCCTCGCAAAAGTATTGCGTTACCTCGCAAAATGTTGCGTTACCTCGCAAGACCTTTTGCGAAAGTTTTGCATTCCCACGCAAAAG